TTGGCACATCGAAATTTACCAAACAGCTCACCTGTAAATGAATTACAAATTCCCAGCGCTTGCAAAAGAAAGCTTTTGTGGTGTTTGTGTTTTCGAAAAAATATGCTAAGCCCACGATTTCCCCAGAGAGGAAACAAAGTGGAATGAAACTGGGGGTAGGGCAAAGAAAGCAGGAGCCGTGGTGGGGGCTGGAAGAGAAGAGGCCCAGAGAGCAGAAGGATATAGGAAAGATAAAAACACTTCCAATACTATCATAAAATAAGCCTTTTCCGTTAACTCTTCCGCATGTCATCATTTTGATATTTTAGAATTTTGCAAATATTCTTTGCCCTACATTCTTTAAATTCCATCGTTTTTTTTTCTTTTTTTTGAAACAAGACACCACAAACTATTCAAAATGTGAGTCAAATCAAAGGAATTCTGCGAATTCCGTCAATGGCAGAAAGGAATAAGAAGATGAATTAAACTGCAATGGAAGAGTACTGAAATCAAATGTGTTTGGGTGAAAAAAGAACCTGTTTATAGACGGAATCAAAGGCAGGATGCTTTCTGCCCACCAACGTGAGCGTGAGATGAGATGCGCCTGTCTGGCCAACATCTCGCAGGCTTGTGCTGCCTAATCTTCGAGGCACACTTCGCGAACCGCTTCGCAGCACGTCGTCGGTATTAGAGCTTGCTGTTGATGATGAGCTCACACCTGAATTTAATTCTTTTATCTCTTCATAGCTAAACTTTTCAGCAAACCAGTGCAGCGCAGATATTCAATTTGAAAAAATTCTAATTTAGGATTACTTACTTAATCCACGGCTGCGAAACTTGAACAAAGGAGGCTCAAACTGTAAGTTGTCGGAAGTGAAGCTTGGACATGACGCGGACGATCGCTGAATCTGAAATGGCAAAATTCAAACAACGACAAATATCTGTGGGAAAATAACCTGTCTCCTCAGCAAAAGTGTTGCAGTCACTCGAATTTTCGCATTATCAAAAGGGATGGCATCATTTCCGCAATGCGAGGAATAAAACAGAAACCTTAACTGAGGGAGTGTGACTTTTTATGCACAACAATAAATCATTGGTCGGTTCGAAGAGATCTTCCATTTTCATTGAGCCAAATTCCACTTCAATCTGCGAAACGGTAACATTCAGTACGAATCAAAGTTTATTTCATAAAAAAATCGAAATCCACTCCAAGCATTATGCTGCGTATTTGGAAATTATGGTACGTTTCAGCTGCAACTAGCCGGTACTAATGCTGTCGGTGGCTTCTTTCCTGTGGTTGCTCAGAAATTAGCTGATGAGAGCCTAGAGATTTTCTGGTATGTGCTAAAACCAATTTGTCACAATGGTCTGGTTCCCCACATCGTGCATTTAAACTTTTAGTTTTTTTATATGAAAGTAACCTATCTACCACCGTAACAAGACCGCAGCAAAAAACATCTGAAAATCGGGAAGAACCTCACTGATTTGAAAAACATGACACTAAAACCAAACACAAAAAAAACCACAGAAAGTCGGAAGAGAATAATATCCGAGGACTTACCACTGTGAGGAACTGCTCTCTCTTCGATATTCCTACAGCCAAATGCCTTATATCAGCCAGAGCAAAAGGTGTTGACGTAACTGATTTCTTTTTTCGACTTCGCAAATTTTCTCGTTTGCTGCGCAATTCCACTTTCAGCTGAAAATATCACATGCTCGATGATTTCCCAAGCTTGTTTTCTTATACAACGGAACTACGCCCATAGCGCTGACAGGAATAAAGCAGAGACTGCTTCGTAAGATGTCTTTTTTGCACATGATATTTGGACTGATCCCCTTTTTTCTATCCTAAAATATTCTACAAAAACAGTTTTTGCCCATATGTGGCAACTTTTTAAGAATGGACGAAGAACGATCTGTTTAGAGAGGGCTGATTCAGCAAGGCAAAACTGAAGACATCTTCAACTCTCCTTCACATCTCCTGCACCGCGTCGAATAAAATGCTTGGGATATCACAAATTTGAATATTACTGCTAAAATTGTTCTTTCGCACTGAATACGATGCAAATTATTGCTTTAATTGTAACACTTCAGACTCAGAACAGGGGACCATGACGAAGAGGAATTTAAAAAAATTTCAGAGATAAAAAAAATAGCGATATTCACATCCAAGCAACGCTGAACGAGAATTTGATCACCTGAGGGCACTGTATCGTGAAATCAATATTGTGGATGACTTGCGCTCGCGCTTGTTCCAGCTCGCCTGCAGCCTGCAATGCGCACAACCAGAATGATACATGGTGCTTTTATTTAATATTACGAGGGGTGCCAGCCGTTACACGCTTTCTGTCATTTATCGCGCACTGATGGCCGTTAAACTGCCTGTAGCCGCCGGATTCTGTCTCTCTCCTTCACTGCAACTCTGCCCCGCCCTTCGTGTCACTGACAAAGTCTCGCATCAGTCTAACACACCACAAGACCGAATTGCGTGTACTTATTTTTATGCGTTTTGTGCTGGTTAACAGCAGTACAAAACGCATATTGTCACGGGGTTGTCTGTGTGTGTGTCCACATTTTGTCCCGCACTTTCAACTCGAGAACCACAAAAGCTAGGCGGCTGAAATTTTGGTATAGTGCTCTATTTGTCTCGCACTTTCAACTCGGGAACCACAAAAGCTAGGCGGCTGAAATTTTGGTATAGTGTTCCCCGCCAGCAGGTGAAGCGGCAAATTTAAATTCAGCCTTCCTGCACCCGCTGGTAATTCGTACGGCCCCGTGAAAGTTTTTTACAGGTAAATTAATATCTAGGGAACCACGGGGTCTAGGAAGCTGAAATTTTACAGTAATGACCCTTTGCCCACGCTCAACCTTGCCTATTCAAATCCAGCGTTCGCGCGCTCTTGAGTATCACTTACGCCCCGTGAAAATTATGGCGGGAAAACTATTAACTCGGGAATCACGGAAAAATGTTCACCCTTCAATGTTTCGAATTCAGCTTTCATGCGCTGGTGCGTGAAATTTTTAACTGTTTTCCAATGTTTGAACTACCTTTGCTTAGACTAAGTACAAAGCAGTAAAAATCATTAATAGGCAATCGTTCGATGGGCTGAATTGCACAAAACGCATAATCGCTCTGGCTAGTCTGGTGCGCGTTGCCATTTATAAATTTTTGCTCAAAAAACGACAGTATGAGTTACCTCACTCTATTAGGAGCCGGTTTCGGAACGCACATAAGACCCCTTCCACTCTTACATGTGATTTATCACATTCCCATGGATGGTAATATCACTAATGTGGGATGGCTACACCAGCTGCCCGGATGATCCTGGTACTCATAGAGCATGTAATTATCAAATAAAAATTATATAGCTGAAATACGGAAAAGTTTATATACCTGTTTCAAGCCAGATTCACCACTGAAAAAGCCGATAAGATCGTCAAAAGCGCCTTCATTGTACAGCACAGAGAGTTCACTGAACCTCGCATCCAGCTTATGTGTGACTACCATCTTGGGAGCGTGCCGATAGTAATCCATGCTTTAAAAATAAAGCAGTACGATTCAGAGGATGAAGAAATTCACTACTCTGTTCACAGTTCATACGAACAATGAGCCTATAAAACAGTGAATACAATATGATGGTACCTCAAGAAAATCTTGCTTGCCAAAGTATTCTGTGCAATTCATCTGTTCTAACTTCAACTGCTTTCCAAAAAATTGCGGGAAGCCACATGAATGAAAACCTTCAATCCATTTTTATGCGTTCATACTGTGTAACAGCTCCACAAAACACATGCTGTCACGACTCTGTCTGTTTAAATATATGTGTGTGTTCGTGTATGTGTGTGTGTGTGTATGTGTGTGTATGAGTCCAAATACCTTTCGTTTGGGGATTTCGACTTGAAAACCAGTGAAAAACTAGGTGGTTGAAGTTTTTAGAAAATGCTCCCTGCGCACAAGTGACTCTCAAATTTAAATTTAGCCTCCATGCAGTCTTATGTTTAGTCATGCGAAAATTTTGGTGTCAAAATTACTACTCGGAAATCATGAAAACCAAAAAGCTGTAATTTTATGATAATATTCTAAACCCATGCGCACTCTCAAAAATTTAAATTCAGCCTCCAATAACGCCTAAATACCATGTATGTGGAGATTTGGCGCGAAATCTTCTGCCTCAGGAATCGCAAGATGGGAAGCCGAAAGTTCATTGCGACGCTTCCTCTAGATGTATAATCATTTAATGTCAAATTCAGCTTTCAGGGGATGTGAAATTTTATGAGCGGAATTTTAGATCGGGAGCTAGAAAGCTAAAATTGTTGCGGGATGTTTTCTATTCATGTGAAAACTTTTAAATTCAAATCCTGCTCTCATAAATTGTTACGTTTCATGCATGAGTTCCGTATTTCTGCACATATCAGACTGTACCGCTGGAGAGAATTGCGCAAAACGTATGATGCATTAGATGCCCTGGTGCATGCCGCTATTTATTATTATTGCTGCTACTATTAGCAGTACTATTAATGATGTTACTATTACTAGAATACTTATTTATTAGTGCCAATGGTTTGACTGCTAACGTCACTATCGTCTTTATTACTACCGCTGCCGGTACTAAAAAGTACTTTGCTTCTACCAGTGGCAAGCACAGTACAGTAGAAAGTAATGCTGCTGTTGTGCGCAAGGTCATTGATCCGACCTTACCAGTAAGTCCCTCTATGATTCGTTCAATCATTTCGATGGTAAGTTGGCAATGGTTTATGCGAAAGAGACAAAAGTGCCATCAGCTTGCTTTTAAGTAATTTTTGAAAGAGAGAGCCATCGAAAGCCTTGCTAGTGACCGTTCTGGCTAAGTCCGTGTGCTTTCACCACTCACAAAAGATGGACACTGAACAAGTTTTGGCTTCGACTTTACTACTACCATCGGTTGGTCATTATGAACCTAGTTTTCTAGCAAATCATTATTCGTTCGTTATGCAATTTGGTTTATATCAGTTGAGAGTATTTTACCGGAAAAGCGCTTTTTCCACACGACTCTTTCCTTCACGTGCGTCTTCGCTCTTCCCTGCTTTCCCAATTGCGAACAGAACTTGCGTCGTCTCTTTGACGCTTCCAAACCCGAAAATCAACGACTCCGCACCCTGCTGATCTGCTTCATCTAAAAACATTGAGCCTACAAGGCTGTACACTGTCTTTATCACCGATTTAAGGCGCAGACGAAGCTACAATGAAATGATGTCTTAAAATGTAAAAAACTAAGTAAGCTGTAAAAAAAAGAAAAATT